AAAAAAAAAAAAAAAAAAAAAAAAAAAAAAAAAAAAAAAAAAAAAAAAAAAAAAAAAAAAAAAAAAAAACACTAACATATAAAAACATAGGATCTGAGTTTGAATACCAAGCACATATTTAAAAAGCTGGACGTGGCCCTGTGCATCTGTAACCTCAGCTCTGTGAGGGACAGAAACTGGAAAATTGCCAGTGCTTACTGGCTGACAGCCTGGCTCCAGGTTCAGTGAGAGACCCTGTCTCAAGGGAATAAGGCAGATAGAGCAGGACATCCAACATCCTCCTCCGACTTCCATATGTGTGTAGGTATGTGCATGGGCACGCATATGCATATACCTCATGAACATGCACACAAACATTCACTCCTCAAAAAGACCCTAATATATAAATAAATAGAAACTAAGATGTTTTAAATAGGCACCTACCCGACGATTTGTGAAGGTAGAATAACATTCCTTCACCAGCACTGTTTTGATCATGTCTGGATCCATGATAGCCAGCATAGGCTGTCGGCCCTCAAAAAACCTGAATTGACAAAGCAAAGAGGATTAAATCCAGCCATCTAGATTTGATAGTTGGAGGCATGCCAAGGAATCCAGAATCTGATCCAGATGTTATATAACCAACACCTTAGTTACGCAACATGCTGCAAATGAGCACCTAGTTCAAGTCAGGGATTCTGACCATAGGTCACTGGCATCTCATGAAACGAAGTGTAATGTAAGACATTCAGGAAGGGACAAACACAAAATAGCTCTACACAGAGATCATAATTAGAACTAAATTGGAGCATGTGTTACCTGGATGGTGCCTACATGAATATTGCCCATGTACTCTTTTTATAATTTTGCATGATCAAAATATTAGAATACCAAAAAGGATATGAACTGAATGGAAAATTGAAAGTAAGTAACTTAAGTTCAAAATAGTGGAATATCCAGACACTGGACTGAAACTCAGGTGAACCATTCCTGAACCATCAAGTCCTGGAGAAAAGTCAAAATATGCAACTTTCTCCACCAAATTCTGTCTGTGAAGCACAACACTGGGGGACATATGGGACCTTTGGTAGGAAAAGCCCCCCAAAATCTTCGTAATACATAGCTTATACTCAAGATCCTGTGGGCTTTGACATTTCCCGTCTTCCCAATGGAAGTTGCCATAATACTTACCCCCACATTTTCCCATATTTTTTATGACATTGTTTGTCAAATTCCCAGAAGCCCTGGAAAGAGAAAGAAAATAAAAATCCATAGCTATTTTAAATATACTCTTCTCACCTCTAGTTGGGGCACAAATGATTTGGATCTTACAAAATCAGGCTTACTATCTATCCCTAGACAGCATTGAGAGGGGCATTGTTATTTGTAGCTGTCGGAGTGGAAAGGAGATTAATTGCTAGAGGTATTTGAAATGGGGATATTAAAGTTTCCCGAATCTTCTCCCAACATTGCAAATGCACAAAAATTCACCCTTGATTGTGAATAATTGCCTATGCTTGGCCATTTACCCTTCACTACAAATAACAGCTAACAGCATGTCTCTAAAGATTTCACTTCTCCACATGCTGTCCCTAAAGTCGCAAGACTCTCTGAACTGTTCCTTCCATAGACACAATGGAGAAACAGAAGCTAAGGGAATGCCAGTGAGATCCATTAAACTCTTTACCCAGCATCTTTTTCATTTATTTCATGCCTCTTTCTTTAGAAGACTAACAGAATTATGACAACGAAGAAACCAGTGGCCTCCTTTAATTTAGAGCATTTAGTCTCCAGCAGGTTTCTGAGTGAGAAGGCAAGAGAATAAGAATGATAATGTGTGGGCTGAAGAGATGGCACAGTGGTTAAGAGCATTGCCTGGTGTGCCAGAGGACCAGGGTTCAATTCCCAGCACCCACATAACAGTTATCTGTAATCCCAGTTCTAGGGGAACACCTTTGTGGGCACCCAGAACTCATACACAGACTTGTATGCAGGCAAAATACCCATAACACATAAAAAATATTTTTAAAAAATAACAAAGAGAGTTTGCCTTTATGGCTCCCTGGTAACATGGGAAAATGGGGAGAGGCCACCTCTATACAGAACACAGCAAAGGAAAGTACTTTCTCCTCTACACATAACATTGGAAATGAAATACTTGCTATGAGTCTCCGACACTTCAAAAGAAAACTTCTGCTAAGTTTCAGTTATAAGTTCTAATTATGCAAATAAAAATTCCAGAAGCATGGCTGTCCCTTGCTAGAATCTGCACTGGGAACAAAGAACATTGCCCTTGGAGGATCACAAGTCTGAACATCAAGTCCTCAACATGAGTGTTGATATGTCAAAGGTCTGAGCTGATGAACTGTGCCAAACTGGATTTTCCAAAGACTAACAGCAAGGCCTTCAAGAAGCTGATCTTGTCTCAGATGAAAGCCAAACATAGTTTCTGAAATGCTACCTCAGTTCTACTCAAGATCTTGTCTTTTTATTGATGAAACTAAGCCAACCTTGGCAAACACAAGAGGAAAGACAGGGAGCCCAGTGAATACTCACCTTCTGGTGGTAAGCAAAAATTGAACCCAAGAAAGGCAGAGGCTTGGGCCCAGGAATTCCCAACTTTTTAAAAATCCCATGTGAATGGGTTCCATACCTATTAAGTAAAAGAGAAAACTAGTACATTGGGATTGTCATTGTATGCTATAGTGGCTCACCAGCTGTGGATACAGACACTATAAAATTCAAACATAGAAGAGGCAACATGTAGGCAACAAATAACAAAAACTCCAACAACAATAATTATTTTTAATCTTCACATCTTCTCCATGGGACTCTCAAAGACAACAACCAGCAAGTGTATCTGAGAGTTTTCTCTTGAGAGAGGAAGCATATTCTCTACTTCCTTGTTACTCATACCTGAAGGTATTTCATTTCATCACTGGCCCATCCTCTTCCTTATCCACCTGTACTAAGGGATTCGCACGACCGGACAGATAGGTATATCAAACACTGATGAATTTTTTTAAAACCTGATAAGCAAGTTTATTTCAAAGCATACATGTGATCTATACCACGTATTTGTTTACGCATTAGGCTCCCATTCCTGGCACTATCATAAACAAATGAGTAAAAACATCAGTTGTCGAAAATATTGAAAGCAACAGCCCCACTTTAACTTTTTGAAGGAAGGTCCTGGGATATCTAGAGCTGAATAGAAAGAAGGAAATGAAACATTTCCATTAATTGTAAAATATCAGATGGAAAAGAGGCCTCCTAACATACACAGTGACCAGCTATTTGTAATCTTCTTCTGCTGAGCTCTGGTTGGTTAATCTGGAGAAAAACCAAGACTCAATCAGAGGATACCCCAAGTCTAACTGAGGTCACTCTATCCTCCTATCCACAGAAAGTAGAGTTTAGTAGAAGGGGAAGACCTATGTATCCCCTTGGAGGGATTTGCATAAGGCCAACAGCAACACCTTAGGTCTTAGCATCTTACACTCAAGCAATGTCCCCTTCATTTTCTCTTTGGATTTTCCAAACAGGTAGAGGAAAGAATTATCCAATTCGCATCCCCAAGTCTTGATCACTGAGGAGAGGAGCCTGGGCAGTTTACTCACAGGTAGAGGAGCACCAGGCTGGTAACCAGGAGCATCCAGGTTTCCATGGAAAAGTTTGGGATCAGGTCCATTGCTGCTTTCTTTAATTAAGTCTCTCTTTTGTGTTTTATTCTCAACTCTGTGTGCTGCACCTTTCAGGTCTGAGCCTGATGAGTTCCCTTCCCCACCCAGCTGTGATTCAAGGAGGCCAGCCTGCAGTGCTTAAGTACTGGGAAAGGGGTTGGGCTGGCCTTGCAACCAATGAAAACACCAGAGTGCTCCACCCACAGTACCATGAGTCAGGTGCACTCTCTATCTTAGCAGTTGGCATGGTACCATGGATGTGCCCACTTTGATCTTTGAATTCATTTGGTAATAAATATTAACCAAAAAAATGCAACCAGTGATTTCATTATCACTGAGTGCAAAGGTTGTTGCTTATCAGAAACTCAAGTGAAATTCTTGGCTTTAATTCTTTTCTAGTAGTTCTGTCCTTGTTTGCTTTCTGTAGTTGTGATTTTAAAAAAAACACTATGATGAAAAACAACCTGGGGAAAAGAGTTTATTTCATATTGCAACTTATGAAGGGAAGTCAGGGCAGAAAATTAAGGTATGAATCTGAAGGTAGGAACTGAAGCAGAGCCCATGGCTATCCACAGACTCCTCCCTGTGGTTTGGTCAGCCTGATTTATTCCCCCCTGGAAATGGTTCAGAGAGCTGGGAAGGGTCCAAGGATCAAAGACATTGGGACATGAGAGTTCCCTCTCCTTTATAGACAATTTACATAGTGCCTTCTGAGTTTTTTGGAGGAATGTGCGCGCGCGTGCGTGTGCACGTGTTTTCAAATTCTGTTTTGTTGTATGCAGCCCATGGTCAAAGGATTTGGTGGTTTGAATGAGAATGGCCCCTGTAGGCTCACTTATTCCACTTGAACACTTATTCCACTGTTTGGGAATAGTTAGGAGGTCTGGCCTTGTTGGAGGAGGTGTGTCACTGGGAGTGGGCTTTGAGGTTTCTAAAGGCCACACCATTCCCAGTTAGCCATCTCTCTCATTTCCTCTTGCCTTCGGATTGGATGTAAGCTCTCAGCTACTGCTCCAGTGCCATGCCTGCCTGCCGCCATGCTCGATGATCATGGACTCACCCTCTGAAACTAAATTGCCTTGGCCATGGTACAACAGTTACAAAGAAAAGGGGGTTTCTGTCCTTCCTCTGTCATTGATTTTCCTATACGTCAAATCTTGATGCCTCTGGAACCTCCTTTCCTGCTGTTCTCCTACATCAGGTGTAGCTGACAGGTTTATTTCTGCATCCTCTCCTGCATTCCTATCATTGTCAGGAAGATGAATGGAACCAGAGATCACCATGTTAAGCAAAATAAGTCAGATTCAGAAAGACAAGCATTGCATATGGAATCTTTTTAGGTTTTACTTTATTTTTTCAGTCATGTTGGGAGTGGATGCACATGATGTACACCCATGGGTGAGTACCTGCAGAGGCCAGAAATGTACAGTGGACTAGAACTCCCCTAGAACTGGAGTTACCGACAGTTGTGAGCTACTCAATATAAATGCTGGGCACCAAACTCCAGTCCTCTGTAAAAGCAGAAAGTGTTCTTAACCACTTAGCCATCTCTCCAGGTCCCTCATATGGAACCTTACAATAAAAGGCCTAGATAGAGAAGAATGGTTATAAAGGAATAAAGAGGGGACCATAGGAGGGTAACAAGTTTGAGTAATGAGAGGAAATATGATCAAAGAATCTTATGCAAAATTTCATACTGAACTCCCTTAGAATTTTGGACAATTTATTACACTAATTTTTTTAAAAGGAGGCCAAATAATTTGTGGTAGGACAGTAGGAAAACTATCTTGACAGCATCTCAGGTACTGGCTGCATTGTACCTCACAGGCTCAATGGTGTAAAAACTTAAAGTCATTTGAAAGATTGCTTTGGGAGTTTCAGGGCAACCCGCTCACACAGAGCCACCTTGCTGTGACAATTTCCCTGAGAAGATGGAACACAAACACCTATTAACCCCAGATAAGGAACTGATGACAGACCAAAAAACAATTACACCAAAGTCCAACTTGGCAAATCAGCTGGTTTATTGAGATTACCTGCGGGAGTAGGGGTGAGAAGTTCCTTATCAGAACATGGATAGATAGCTCAAAGACATCACGCAAAGTTTGCTCAAAAAAAAAATAAATAAAAAAAACCTTGAGTCCTGTAACTCTCTGGACATTTTTCAGGTATCTTAATAGGTCATAGAGTCTCCTCTCCTCAGCAATCCTTAGTGCTTATAAAGCTTTGAGAAGGGAGGACCTTGTTCATCTAATCAACATCGGGGACTAACTGAGCCTTTTGAGTTGTTTCCTTCCTGAGTCTTAATAAGCTTCCCTTTAGAATTTCATGAGTGTTATCCAGATTCATTTTTGAATTTCCTGAGATTTAAGGCATTTAAAGGCATTCCAGGATGGAATGACTCAGAGAAAACCACCGCATAACAACCCAAACAAGTGCTTGTCCACATTCAACGATCAAGCCATGCATAGGATGCCACAGCTGTGGTCCAAATTGGCCCTTTAACATCTGTATCTGTTAGCAGAACTTGTCGGCATCTGAATTCCATAGGAATGCAGACTGTGAGCATTGACGGGACGGTCATGGAGGCTTCCATGCTGCACAGGAAAGCCGAGAGGACGGGGCCTGTGTTCAAGTCACAATCCCCATGGCAGTTCCTGAAAGGGGGACAGGTGAAACTGTGACAGTGAAAATAATGCTGTAGTAGAGACCCCCATGAAGGGACTCTAGCCAGCCCAAGCATGGCAAGCATGGCTCTGGCAGGCCTTGCCCTTCTCCCCGACTCTGTCTTATTCCTAAAGCTAGGCCCCAAGGTCTATTCCCTCATTTGACCTCTTCCTCCTCCTGAAACTGACCACTGAGGTCCAGCTATCAAAGTATTGAAGTTCAGCAATCAGAAGCCCCCTTTGGCTGCCATAATTAACATGCCCAATTAAAATTAAACAACTCATCCTAACATGGAGTTTCTCATTTTACCTTTATAAACCACCCTTTGCCTACGAGCATGTCTGTCACCCTCTATCCAGGTGCAGACCTTTGTCACCACAAGACAAAGGCCCCTTCCCCCTCTCCCTTGTCCCCTTCCCCTTCTCCCTCTTCCTCTCTCTCCTGTCTTTGTCTCTTATTCCCGCCCTTTGTCCCTCTGGGGCAAATAAATCTGCCTTGTGCTGAGAACTTGGTCTTGGGGTGTCCTGAGCAGATACTGGTCCCTACACCCCAGATGCTAGAGATGGGCATCTACAACATCTACTGAGGAAAGACAAGGCCAGTCCGCAGAGGGTAACATGAATGGCAGCCAACAAGGCCGTAGGGACAGAGCTGTGTATGCTACAATCTGATCTGAATGACAGGTGAGGAGCCAGAGGACTTGATTCAAGGCCCAATATCTGAATACCTTGTGGACTAGGTGCACCACTGTCCTTTTTCACAAGGTCCTTCTATTTCTGTAGAAGAAGGGGGCCTTGATTAAAAGCACACATGTGGTTCACCTCTGGAATCTCTGGGATGAAAGGGTCCTACACAAAGACATGAAAAGAAGTAGAAAGGAGCTTGGGTATTTCTTGCAGGCTGCAAGAATGTATTATAGAGATTCATCTGTGTATTAAAGCTATTCCATGACTGGCCAAGAGTCCTGTCAAGAGGCAAGCCATTTATTACAAATATTTGGTGCTACCCAGCCTTTAATATTCCATCTGTCTTCTACTATGAAATTCCTGCGTGCTCAAATATTTTCAGGCCTGCTGAACTTCTAGGTAACTTCTCTGCGGGAGCCAGTACCTGGATAAGGTCGCATAAGCAAAGTCAAGCTGGCAGGAGACTTACAGCTTTGTTTCTTGTGCAAATGAAGCCCAGACCATCCCCTGACCCGAGGCCCAGCAGCTCTCCAGAGCAACTGACTGAGAACAAAAGAGGTTTTTACATATCAAGGTGAGAAGTAGAATAACATTCCTGAGGAGGCAGGGAACCTTGTGCCCAGGGAAAGAAAGGGCAGGCATTTTCTATAGAAATGGACAGAACGGCATGGCGAGAGAGAAGAGAGGAAGACAGAGGTTCCATAGAGGGTAAGCAGATCTCGGGTAGAGTTTTCTGAGTGCCAGGAGTAGGGAGTAGCAGAGATGGAGAAAGAGGATACAGAGGACGAAGATGAGGCTGGAAGCATAGGAGTTTAGTCATTAGCCGGGCTCTGAGCTAGGGAGCTGGATGGAACTGCAGTTATGGAGACAGGATTTCATCCCAGAGAAATAGAGTAGACAGATATAGAGCTTGGTATGTCTAGAGTTATTCCTCCTGCCTTGAATGCCTGGTGGAGCTATAGCTGAATTAATAGAATTTTGTCTTAGAGGAATAAAGTTAACAGACATAAGAACATAGTGTATGTAGATTTTTTTTCCTAATATCCCATGCCAGATGTAGCTAACCCCCGGGAACCCTGGGTACTCCATAGGTATTAAAGGCACACATGGGAACCTGAAGATGTGCAGATGAACTAGGGTTGAAACTCCACTGAATTCTCATACATTTCTGTCATTTTCTTTCACTTCACCAGGCAATGTCATGTAGAGTCCTGCTGCTGTCTCCATTTCAGAGGTGTTAAAACTGAGTTTCAGTGACTGTCAGCAGCTTTACAATTGCAATTTTTAATTTTTTTTCAGATTTTTTCAATTGTATGTGTGCGAATGTTTTACCTATATGTATTTATGTCCACCATGAGCATGCTTGACAACCTAGGAAATCAGAAAAGGGCATCAGATCCCCTGGAATTGGAATCACAGGTAGTTTTGAGCCACCATGTGGGTACTGGAAACCAAACATAGGTTCTCTGTAAGAGCAACAAGTACTCTTAACTGCTGAATCATCTCTCCAACCCCACATATCAACCTTTATGGCCACAAAAACATTATCTATTAAGTAAATATGGGGGGACATTTAATTCCTTTAGTTGGGACTGGTGATATGACTCAATTGATAGAGTGCTTGCCTATTATAACCAAGACCCTGGATTTAATCCCAAGTACTAGATATAACCTGGCATGGTGGCACAAACCTGTAATCCCTTAGGAGGTAAAAGATCAGGAGTTCAAGGTTATCCTCTGCTATATAGAAAGTGTGAAGCCCATGAACTGTGG